CCGTGCTGTGCCATCAGCCCGGGCGGCTCCTTGGCCTCGAAGGCGGCGGGTGCTGCTCCCGCGGGAGCCCCGGTGGGGCGCTGGTGGAGAGCGGGGCCCGCAGGGTTCGTGGTGACCGCCGTTCCAGCCCCGGTCCCACCCGGGCGGTGACCACCCGCCGTGGCGGCTGCTGAACCACCCGTTCATCCCGGAGAGGAGCCACCACGGCCCCGCAGCCCTGCCCGGGYGCTGGCGTCGTGCCCTGCCCGCGGACCCGCTGGTGCCGGGCTTGGAACGTGGCGGCTGTGCCGGAGGATGGTCGGGCTCGGGGTGAGCCGGGGGGAGAGTGAGGAGGTGGGGCAGGACTCGCCACGGTTCATTGGGACCAGAGCAGGTGGTTTTCAGCTGGGTTTGGGTTGTTCTGGAGCATTTCCTTCAGCAGAGCCACCCACGGTTAAGAGAGGGGAGAAACAAGACCCTCACCCTCGACGGTGGCTCCGGGGGTCGGTGCAGGATGCTCGATGCCCAGCACCAGTTCATGCTCCTCCCTTCCCTCTCTCCCAGTGCTCGTGGAATGCTTCGCACGGCTTTGCCCTGCTCTGGGCAGCGGGACCGGCTCCACTCCGAGCGCCGCTGACCCCTGCGCCCACCTGGGCACCGCGACGGGGGAGCGCTGCCAGACAGGTACAGCTGCGGGCACCGTCCCTTGCAGCCCTTTGTGGCACCGTGTGCCAGCCGCGTGTGCTGGTGRCACTGGGGCCAGGATCCCGCTGTGGCTGCTGTCGGACCTGCTCAGTGTCCCCCGCTCTGCCTCTGCCCGCAGATCACCCGGAGCGAGCTGCAGGCACCGGGCGGGCGCTGACACCAGAGCCCMTGGGGCAGCTGTGGACAGAGGCTGAACTGCTGCCCTTCCCTGGGACCCCCGCCGGGACAGTCGAGCTCTCCAACCCCCAGGAGAGCCCCAGAGGCGCCGGGCTGGGCAGGGAGGGGTCAGGGGCGGCAGTGCAGGGTGGAACAACCACCGAGCCCACGGGACCCCTGGTCTCTGCAGGCACAGGCAGGGAGCAGCCATCCCCTGCCCGTGTGCAGCTGAGCAGCGCGGAGACCCCAGCCCCTGTGGAGGCAGGCACAGATCCTGCCACCATGTACCCCCTCGGGACTCACCCTGCAGGAMGTGTGACAAAGGAAGGTGCCACGACCCCGCATGGGACCCTTTCACATTCATCACCCTCTGTGACAGTGCCAGGCTCTGCCAGGGGACASTGGAGGTCCACCAGCACCCTGCTGGGATGGAGGTCCGTTGGAACAGCCCTCTTGCAGAGCCAGAGTGCCACTCTCCAGCTGGGTGACAGCAGCCCAGGGACCCGCCCGAGCACTGTGCTGGCCACTGACAGCTCAGCGCCAGGGACAACAGGGACATCTCCCTTTGCTGGGGGGCTGCAGAGGCTGCTGACCCCCACAGGGACACTGCGGGGGACACACCAGGGGCTGCAAGGGCCAGGGCTGTCAGAAGGACAGGGCTTTGGCTCCCACCCACAGCAGGGTCCCCGCTCTGCCCCTCTCCCCTCTGCACTGTCCCTGGGGCCTGGTGGGGGTCCTTTGGCCAGCACAGCCTGGCCAGCTGTGGGGACAGACCCAGCCCCACTGCCTGCCACACAGAGGGGCTCAGCTCTGCTTCTCCCCACCACCATGGCCAGCGTCCCAGGGGTGACATCCGCCAGCCAGGGAGGAGTGCAGGACCTGACCACAAGGGTCTTGGGCCCACTTGAAAAGGGGGGTTCCCCTGAGCACAGTCACATCCCCCAGAGCCGATCAGCCATCCCGGGGCAGTCCCCCATCCCCATGGCCCCTGGCAGCACTGCAGTGGCACAGGAWGGGGTGACACATGCCAATCCTGGRTCCCCCCTCATCCCCCTGAACCCACAGTCTGCCCCAGCCGGTGTCTCTGCAGTGACCCTGCTGCCGACCCCCCTGCCTTCCCCAGGGACTGGCTGGGGCATCCTGGGGTTCCGCCCCACGGTGGGCACCCCCCTGGGAGACCCCTCCCCAGGGCTGCCCTATTCCAGCTCAAGGGTGGCTCCTGCTGAGGGCTCTCCATCCCTGGGGGTGCCCCAAATGGGGGTGGACAGCCTGCCCCCCTCCTCAGCACCTGGGCCTCCCCGGCAGCCATCTTCATCCCAGCCTGCATCTTCCCAGCCTGCATCATCCCTGGGACAGACCACTGCTATTGGTGTCACCACCACCGCTGTCACTGCCACCATCACAGCAGAACRGCCTGGGGACATGGGGACACGCAGACCAGAGCTGGATGCTGCTGTGCTGCAGAGGGATGTGATGGGACTGACTTGGGGACCCCCARCTCATGTGCCCACTGTGATGCCCGGGCCCCCCCAGCAGCCCACGGGTTCCCATGGGACCTTGGGCCATGGTGGGGGCCCTGGGTTCTCCCCAGCTGCTGTGGACGCAGATCTGGCCCAGCCATCGAGCAGCCCTGCAGGGAGGACGGTCACCGATATCCACCAAGTGATACCAGCTGGGGTGGGCAGGGCCCCGCAGGTTTTCATCGTGGAAGATCAGCCACCACTCCTGAGAGGTGGGTCTGAGGTTTTGGGATYCTCTGCTGGGGCATGGCAGGAGGAGGAGAGGCCCTGAGAGCCACCAGCATTGGGGGACAGTTGTGAGGGTGGCCTCTGGAGTGGGGTCATGACCTGCTGGTCCCCATTCCATCCTGCAGCACCCCTCCTGCGTTTTCCCTGTGAGCTGGTGCTGGATATGGACTTTGTCCCGGCCCTGCAGGACCCCGGGTCCCGTGAGCACCAGGAGCTGCTGCAGAGCTTCAACCAGACCGTGAGTGCGGGATGGGGCCGGGGGGTGTGGGTTGGGGGCCATGGCACTCACGTCCCCTCACCCTGTGCAGGTCACACCCCTCTTCACATCGGTGCCCGGGTTCCTGMGGCTGGAGGTGACAGCGATCAGGTGGGTGGTGGCACAGCCCCGCAGTGTGTGATGCTCCCTGGCAGAGGGGTACAGGGACTGTCACACACTGCGGGGTCACAGCAGTGCCGGGGTGCAGTGCTGGGGGGCTCCAGCACCCCGAGACTGACGGTGGGTGTCCCGCAGGAAGGGCAGCGTGGTGCTGCGCTATGATGCGCTGTTCGCGGCGGAGCAGCTGCCCGTGCCAGGGCTGGATGAGCTCCTCGGGGCCGTGCTGGGCTCGGTCAGTGCCCAGCCAGGGCTGGCAGTGGGTACAGTCCCTGTCCTGCGACACGTGGCTCTGGGTGAGTGCGGGGCTGCTCTGTCAGTGTTTGCCAGTGAAGGGTCTGGGGGCTGCGCCTGCAGTTCTGGTGGGCACACGCTGGGCAGGSAGGGGTGGCACAGCTGGACCCAATCCCTGCAGCGTGGCCGCTGGACCCCTGTGCCGTGCTCTTTGTCTGCCCGGCCGGCTTCGCCTGCGTGTCCGGGGAGGATGGCAACGCCACCTGCACCTCCCTGTGCCACCGCGACTACTGCAAGAACCACGGCATCTGCACCCACGCCCGGGACCACCAGCCCCGCTGCCAGTGAGTGCCTGGGACAGCCCGGGGCGGTGGGTGCCGTCCCCTTGGTGCTGATGGCCCCTCTCGCTGCAGGTGCCCCGTGGGCAGCGATTTCTGGTTCATGGGGCTGCGCTGTGACTACCGCGTGACACAGCAGAGCCTGCTGGGGATGGCGGCYGGGGTCCTGCTCAGCATCCTCCTCCTGGGCGCCGTCCTCGCCGCCGTGGCTGTGCGCCGCTTCAAGGTGCTGCTGCTGGAGGCCAGGGCTGACCAGACCCAGAGCAGGTGAGAGTTCGGAGCCGTGGGGACCTGGGCTGGGCTCTGTGGGCTGCTGGAGGGTGGGGAACCCTGCCCCTCCTCGGGTGCTGGGGGTGAGGGGCAGCGGGGAAAGCCGGGGTGGGGCGGCTGGGCTGGGGATGAGCTCTGCCGAGGAAAACGGTGCTGGGTGGCTGATGGGGGCGGTGGGAGGTGCCGGGCAGAGCCCCCCGGTCCGATGGGGATCTGGTGTGTGTGTGGTACCAGGGGATGCTCCCACCCACGGGAAGTGGGGTGCAGGCCAGACAGGCGTGCTGCGGGCTGGATGGGGTCGTGGTGGCACTGAAGGGCTGTGCTGCTGTGGAGACAGGGGTGAAATGTGCTGATGAGTTCCAGCTATGTGGTCCCTGGGACCCCGCAGTGCTGCCCGTGGCACAGAGCCCACCCGCCCCAGCGTGTGCTGCTGCCCGTGCTGTGGGTGGGGAGCGGCTCCGGCACAGCCCTGCCAAAGCAGCTCCTCTGGGAGCGGGGCTCTGCTGTCCTGGCCCCATTGCCCGTTTCGTAATGCGCCGTGAGGATTGTTCCCGAGGAAACCACTGCAACAGCTGCAAGCAGCGCGGGGCTGCGGCCAGAGGCTGACCAGTGTCAYGGGCTCTGTCCCCACCCTCGGGGTGCGGCTGGGCCCTTCCCCGGACCCGGCACATTTGGGCAGAAATCTGCAACCCGTGTTGCCAGGCGGTCACTGCGGCTGTGTGCTCAAGTGCTTGTGTGTCTACATGTGTGTACATGTGTGTATGTGTACACATGTGTGCATGTGCCTGCCCTGTACCTGTGTGTGTACACGTGTGTACGTGTGTGTGTAGCTGTGTATGTGTGTGTACCTGTGTGTGTGTACACCTGTGTGTAACTTTATGTGTACTTGTGTGTGTGTACACGTGTGTACCTGTGCGTACACGTGTGTGCGTGTACCTGTGTATGTTTACACACGTGTGTGTGTGTGTACACGTGTGTGTGTGTGTCCCACGAGCCCGTGCCTGCCCTGCCCCGCAGCTACCGGCGCTTCTGCCGCCTGGACGATGTCTCTGCCCAGTACTGGTCACGCTCGGGGCTGCCCTCGGCCAGCTCGCTGGACAACCCGGCCTTCAGCAACTCGGAGGAGCTGCTGCACCTGCAGATGTTGGACAATGGCTGCTGTGGCTGCCAGGAGGATTCGGCCACCACCGACGGTGC